AAATCTTCTTGTCATCTCATCCATCAACCACTCACTTTACGGCTTGTTTTAATTAAAGCAGGTTCTTTGTTTGACACTCCAATTCAAAATTGCACCTTCACCGCTTTTGAAAATGATCAATTTCCTTGCCTTCGTCGATGAGCAAAGCCATTAATTTCCTCAAGAGGTAGCGGACGGGGTGAAAGGCGCGCGGAATCGATTCGCCGTTTTGAATTGCAAAACAGGGGCCTCGGCCGCGCATAAATTGACCACCGTGCCAATTTCCACCACCCATTAGCCATTATGCCGCGCTACTTCTTGCTTGGCAAACGCTGCCCAGGAGAAAAGTGCATTGCTTTTACATAATGTGGGCTGCCGAAATCGGCAAAGACGGAAATTGCATTAGGGTCAACAGACAGACACGCACAAACACCATCTCCGTCACAAGAAGAAAAAGAGAAAAAAATGCGAATCAGCAATTTACTGCACTGTCTGGTCCAGCGACGAATTTATTTTTTTCCTCCGCTCTAATTAAACGCAACAAGACGAGCAAGAAAGAGGTCAACGAACCCGGCGCCGACGATTATTTCGCCAGACACAATTTTCCGTTTTAATCTCCGTCCATTTGTAACGGCTGGCCGCTCTTCACGTGTTCGCCAGCGTAATTTATTCAGCTTTCCCCGGTCAGTCGAGATTATCCTGCTGAAAAACACACCCATGGGCCAAACCGCGTCCACGCCCAGATGGGATCAAACATAAAAAAAATTCCACATGGAAGAGCGCATAATTCTTTCTGGCTTGAATAATTAGTCCGCAAGCTCTTTAATTAATAGGATATGCGTTTTTTTAAATAATTTCTCATTATAAATTTATCTGCTCAAAAGTTAAGTTAGTTCGTTTATTAATGGTTTGAAAATAAATTAGGTGAGCATGTTTGTTTATTTATTGATTGCATAAACAAGGAAACAGCTTTGTTTGAACCCTTTAAATTAGTCAATGGCCTCGTTTCCAGCGTTCTGTAAAATTATATTTCCGGGCAATGAAACCAAAAGCGGCATTTTCCTTGGACTAGAAAATGGTGCTTTTGGGTTTATTACCCGGAAGTTGAATTTTCCAGAACGTTGCAAATGAGTCCATTGAATAATTTAACGAATCCAGTTTAGCTGTTTTCCCATTTATTTGTCAAAGTTCAAATTAATTTATATAAATAAATTAACTGGTATAATAGTCCCGTATTTTTATATTTCCTTCTATCTCAATTAATCAAGTTTGTTCTAAATCATGTAGGTAGACTATCTATCAGGCTTTTCCGTAAGAAAAAATTATATTTTCATCTTTATAAAGATTAATCATCTCAAAAACTTTATATTTATCCCTTGCTAATGATTATTTTTGAAATTAGATTATCTCAATTTGGACTTCTTTTTCGTTTCATCTGATCATTATAAATTTCTTGTTATTTTGCTAAGCCATAAAATTATATTTTTTCACACAATAAATTATATTGATTTTCTTTGCCAAAAATTCTGAGAAATTATGTCATTCTATTTACCTAAATCGCTAAATCACAATTTCCTACAAGTCAATTTTATTTTAATTTCATCGCTGTTGTTTGAAATTTTAATCTAAAATTGAGAATATAAGATTCTAAAAAGATCCTTGCAGAAGATAGCAACTTTCCTGAGAAATCTCTAAAAAAAAGCTATTAAAAAACATATACCGAAATGCAACAAACTTTTGACATTTTTTTTTTTTATATAAAAGAAGTTCTCGTTATGGAAGTTGGAATTTATTTTTAGGCACAACTCTTGCGCCCTCAGAGATACCTTATTCGTTTTGCCTTATATAAACATCCAGCTTGAAGCAAACTGAGGATGTGTGTGTGTTGTGAATAGCGTCGCTGTCAGCGCGTCGACGTTGACGGAATATAGTTCGTTATTTTCTGTAATCTGCAGACGAGAGTTCCGCGTGTGTGTGCGCGCATGAAAAATGGCTGGGTGAGAGGAAAATGCGGCCGTCGTCGTCGTTGCAAAAAGTCACGCTGCGAGGTCTGCTCCGTGTCAAGCCAAGTCAAGTTGGCTCGAGCGGTTCTGCTAATGCCACCATTGTTATTCGGCACAGCCTCTCTTCTCTTCGCCTCTCCTTCAAAATCTCTTCTTCTCTCAAGGAGCTGTTTATACGCGCGGCTCCGTTTCCCGTCGTCGACACCGCAATAAAATGGTTATAATGATGAACAGCCTATCGGAAAGGTTATTGACAATTTGTTTTGAAAACAAAACTAGCCACACCTTTTATTAGACCAAAATTTATTTATTTTTTTAAATCAATGACGCGAGAAGAGAGACAACTTCAGCACCAATTTAATATTATCTGAAAATAATTTGATATTTTAAATTACAATATGTAATATATAAAATAAGGAAAAACTGAGATTGGTACGAAAATCACCTTGAAATGCTGACTTGAGATATTTATTGTAAAGATTTTATTAATATTATGTAATGAAATCATTAACAAATGAAAAAAAATAAAAGCCTCCAAAAAACTGAATGTTTCCAAATGAAATGAGGAATTAAAAAAAATCTATAAATTAAAAGTAGTTGCCAAATAGTTTAAGGTGTAAAAAGGTGATAAATTATAATCCCCTTTTTATTTCTAATCATATATGCATCAATCAAAAAGATCTGTATTTCAGAATGAACTTTACAGAGCATTTAATTTGTGAGGAAAATCATGGCTTTTCATCTAATTAATTAATTTTCATCGCATTAACTTTTTTTCTGAAACGCAATTTCAATTTATAAATGCCACTAACGCCTGTGGGAATAGTGAACCTACTTTTCGTCAGCAAATAATTAAATCCACTATACCTACGCCCACCGCAGAACGCTCGATTCCATACAAGGTTTCATTTCCAAGGAAAACTTCGAGTGCCTTCGACCGATTCTTTTTATGTTTCGAAGTTGAATCGTAAGCATTTCCTTAACAATGCAAGAAGTGCAACTACTCGTGAATTATTCTCTCTCAGAAATAGCAGCAAATCGTCTCTGCTCGTGGCATTCGAGGTATAGGCAACCGGTGGTGCGCTTCTGTTGGGCGGCTTGCATAACTCTTCTCTCGCAGGCGCTCGCTCGCTCGCTCGCTTGTGTGTTTGTGGCGGGAGCGCAACATAAAATGTTTGCGAGTCAATTAATTAATTATTCATGAGGCTGCCGTTGCTCTCTCGATGTTGAAAATTGATCTTCCGGCGAGCGTGGGCCGCTTTGCACCAACACGACTGCCGACCTAAGTAAGAGTGATTGATGCAACAAACTGCTATCATTAAGGGCCCTTCTCATTGTTAGTTTGCAAACACTCAGATTTTGAGAGCGAGTGCATTTGCGCTAAAAATTATACTTTTCTTCGTTGGCGACAACAATGCATCATTTTGTTGAATACGAAAATTTTTATATATTACTTAAGTTTGAGAGTAAAAGTCAAGTAAAAATAATTACTATCTCAATAGAAATATCCTAGCCTTTTTTAATTTCTTAGAAATATACAGGAATGTCCAAATAAACTTTTCATACGAAAGCCAAATTAAAATAATGAAAAAACTGGATACCTATTTTGATCATTCACAATCGACTGAAAAACAAGTTGTTGTCCAATTTAGATCATATAGAATTTAATTTTAAGTTAATGAAAATTTTGCTGTTGCTAATATTTGCAAATTTACTGATTTTTCATTAATTTCTTGTTAGGAAATCGTTGGAGTGACTCGGCTTTTCCCTCGTTGTAAAAAATTGTTGGGAAAAAGCCCGAGTTCTTCACTTCCATGATCATCTCCTCGAGTGGCAATTACTTTAAACTAATAGAAAATCGTTCTAGTGAAATAGGTTGCAAATTGTGAAAAGCAATTTTATTTTTTATTGCTGGAAAAAATCTTTTCAAGGAGGACAAATCACTTGATAAAAACTACTTTTAATTCTGAAGGAAAACTGATATGATCACATTTATATATTTTTTTATAGTTTTCAATTTGATTAAGCGTTATTGATGTCGCTACATGAAAATAATTTTCCGAGTAATTTAACATAGTGCAATTGAGTCGACGGGAAATTTCCCGAGACGAAAGTTTGTCCGCTCGGCAAACTGGCGGGGGCGCCGCCTTTGCCAGCAGACGCTCTCAAATTCGCACGCGTTTGTTGAATCGGCCTGTGTACATAATATTCCCTCTCATCAGCTCGCAAATTAGCGCGCAAGTTTGGCCGCCGCCGAGCACACGCACACACGCACTCTTGGCAGCTGGAAATGAGTTTGATTAGCTCAATTAGCCGGCGCTGAAGCTTCCTTCGTGTCTGCGGCTCCTTTTCCTCCTGCCGAGCACTTTGTCAAACAAAAGTTCCCCTTCGCGCCGCCACTCAATTATTAATCGACGTCTCTTTTTCCTTATTTCACCAAGCCGGCTTTCATTTGAAAGGAACAAAGAGCGAAGCGAAGTGAAAATGATTTGATTAAATCTGTGCATTTGCCCTGAATTAAGTATATTAGACAGTTTGTTATTATTCAGCCCGTCAATTTTCATAAGATATGACAGTCGGAACGAATGTGAAGTTTTATAAAATAAAATAAATTGTACGAGTACCACAGACGGTAAATTCAATGCTTGTAAAACATTTTTAAGCACTAAGAGCTCAATAGATCAAATTATTTAATTTTAAATATGGCATACTTATTTGATTTTATTATATTTTACTTTTGATTTAAATTCAAAATAATAAAACAAAATAATTGTCAAATCATAATTATAAATTTTTAAATTTAAAAAATATACAATATAATTCGCATATTTTATTCTAAAATAAAATTAGTTAATAAAAAAAGAAACTATTTGCATTATATTTTCATCTTGTTTCATTGTATGTAAATTTTGCGCTGATACATTCAAAAGATTTATTAAATTTCCCATCATTCTTAAAACAAATTAACTATTTATATATTAAAAGTCCACTTAATAATTATTAACGATTTTGTTACAGAAATGGAGAGCGAGTTGTGGATGAACCTGAGCGCGTACAACGACTCGATGTTCGACAACGGCACCATGGAGGGCGGCTACGTGGCGTTCAGCGACCGTCCGGAGACGTACATCGTGCCGATTCTGTTCGCCGTGGTGTTCGTGGTGGGCGTGCTGGGCAACGGCACCCTGGTGCTCATCTTCGGGCGCCACCGCCGCATGCGCAACGTGCCCAACACGTACATCTTCTCGCTGGCCCTCGGCGACCTGTTGCTCATCGTGACCTGCGTGCCCTTCACCTCCACCGTGTACACCATCGAGACGTGGCCCTACGGACTCTTCATCTGCAAACTGTCCGAGTTCGTCAAGGACCTGTCCATCGGCGTGTCCGTCTTCACGCTGACCGCCCTGAGCGCCGACCGCTACTTTGCCATCGTCGACCCGATGCGCAAACACGTCGGACGCGCCACCAAATTGACCGTCGCCATCGCCGTCTCCATCTGGCTGCTCGCGGCCGCCTGCGCCCTCCCGGCACTCTTCGGCTCTTATCTCCGATCGTTCCAGGTAATATTTCCACTTTTTTTAATGAAGAAGAAGTTTTAACCTCGTAAAATGTTTCAAATATCAAACTCATTTTGATAATATTTATGACAAATTATTTCATTTAATTGCCAATATTATCAATTAATTTTATAAAAAACTGAAAAATAAGAGTGCTGTTAAAGTAGATTTAAAAAAAAATTTAAATCGAACAACAAGAATACCATTTATTAAACTAAATAACTTATTTCATTCATAAATTTTTTTTAAAAAAAAGTTAATTTTTTGGGGTAAGATAAAATTTTAAAATAAAAAATTTACACTAAGTTATTAATTTATACTAATTTTTTTTTTTATATTTGCGGGTAAGTTTAATGTAAAAAAAAATATGTTTTTCGAAAGAGGGGAAGGGGGTCTTGCCTACTTAAATTTTTTATTTTTTCGGATTGTTTCAGTAATACAATTAATCAGTATTTTAAATGACAATTAAATAAAAATAATTTTTTATTTTACTTTAAATTAAATTTAATTTAGTTTTTAAAAAATTTATTTTCGTTTTTCATTAGCTTTTTCAATTATAAAACGAATTTCATTAAATTTTTTGATACAATTTAAGTTTCCTTTTATAAGTTAATGCATTATTCTGGACTACTTTTTTTTAAATTACCTGGGTTATATTAAAATATTTGTATTTCTTTATGTAATTCATTAAAGTATTTAATAATTCGGTGCAATTCTGTCATTTTCAAAGGATTTTTTGTGTGTTTTACAAAACCGTCTGATTTGTCAATCAATGTTGTTTAAAACAATGAATATAATGAGGAATAATTTTAATCTTTTTTTAAAGAATACTCAAATTACTAAAGTTTTTCTCACTTTTAACTGGTTCTTAAGGAAGTATCTGTTATTTTTTATAAATAATTTTGTAAATTAAATTTATTTTTAAGGAAATATTTCGTTGGCTTCCTCTCATTTCACCCTATTTAGTGAATAAATGTATATTTATGAAAGTTTGATTTGCTGAAAAAATAAATCTGAGATTTTCAAGGAATATTAAAAAAAATGTCGCAACGCAAACATAAGTTATCTGTATTTTTTTTAGCACTCTGCCAATTAATTTTGTGATTAGAATAATGTCTGTTTTTTACTCCTTCAGAAGATGAAATGAGTTGAAATAAATATTTATTATAATATTAAACTAAAAAAAAGAATATACTGATATCTTAAACTGTCTAATTCATTCATCTTTTAAGCGCTTGTCTGCAAATTTGTTTAACATTTTTCATTTAAATTTGCATGTTCAATGTTTTGAACGGTTTTGAATTAAAACTATTGGTTCATTTTCTATAAACTTCAAATTTATAGGCTCAATTTATAAATAGGATTATTTATTTGAAGAAGTTGATGTTCATGGAAATGAAGAGATCGGGCTTGTTTTTTAATAAAAAACAATTTTTCTGCAACTATGAAAAGCCCGATCTCTTAATTTCTAGGATTATTTAGTTTAATTTTGATGCGATTCAATCCAAATGAATTTATTTAATTCTAAAAGGAAAATATTATTTCAGGTGAGCCCGACCCAGACAATTCGCGTTTGCTACCCGTGGGCTGAGGAGTGGGGCGCCAACTTCCCGCGGCAAATCGTGACGGTGCGCTTCGTCGTCTTCTACCTGGCGCCGCTGAGCGTGATCGGCGTGTTCTACGCGTTGATGGCGCGCCACCTTTTGATCAGCGCCCGTCGCGGCCTGCCCGGCGAGGCGCACGCCCAGACGCGTCAGGCGGCCGCGAGGAAAAAGGTGGCCAAGACGGTGCTGGCGTTCGTGGTGGTGTTCGCCGTCTGCTTCCTGCCGCAGCACGTCTTCCTCCTCTGGTTCTACCACAACCCGTCCGCCCCGGACGACTACAACGGCTTCTGGCACGCGTTCCGCATCGCCGGCTTCTGCATGGCCTTCAGCAACTCGTGCGTCAACCCGATCGCCCTCTACTGCGTCAGCGGCACCTTCCGCAAGCACTTCAAGCGCCACCTCTTCTGCTGCTGCTGTCCCGTGAGCGCCGAGGACGCGGCGCCGCCCGGCGGCACCGCCACGCGCACCCTCCGCAGCACCCTCAACCACCGCCAACCCCTCACCAGGGGCACCTCCAAGACCACCACCTGGGACTCGTGCCACTCCATGGTCCACTTCAACAGCACCGTCCGCGGACGACCGCCCGCGGACCACGTCGCCCTCACCACCGCCCTCAACGGCTCCTCCGAAAAAACGTGAGCCGTCGCCACCCCCGAACAAGGTCAACTTGACCTCTGACCTGGCCAGAATCGAGCTGCACACAGGGGTCCCACCCCCCACACTCCTCTTCACAATTGGGATCAGCGCAAAAGCTGAATGCATTCCTAGATCTCTCTCTTTCGATGGTTAAATCTCTCTCTCTCTCTCATTAATATTTAATGTGGAATTTTGGAAAAAATATCTTTCAGAGAATGATTGAATCTGTAAAATTTTAAAAAGATACACTAATAATAAATAGTCATTACTGTACAGTAGATTTTAGGCACATAAAACTATATACATATATTTTGTAATGTGAAAAATAAGATTTTCTTGATTGGTGTATTTTTTATTTTAAAATTGAGACAATTTTAACAGTTTTGTTGGGAATATTGTTGTTGATTGTTGAATTTCTATCTAGATAGAATCGCATTTAAATATATGTTTTAAAATTTCTTAATGTTCATAAAAGAGATTCAATGGCAAAAAATGTAATTCATGTGAAAATGTGTAAAAGGATTAACCTAAAAGTGAATCAAACTATTCTCCGTGCATGATTGTATTTTAAAAACATTGAGGCTTTACAAATTTAATACTGGCTACCTCAGCTACTTCTCTATTTTTATCAAAAACTGCCACTTCCGTATTTTTAAGCTTTAAAAAAATTATATTATTCTTGAAATCACTAAAATAAATAGTAATTAATTTTCAGTTCTAAATTACATAAAATTTAAATTTAGGTTATGACCAATTGACTGATGAGGACTTTTAAAATTATATCAAAAAATATTTTATCCCTAATAAATGTAAAAACGATTTACTGTATTATCAACAGCACTAGCAGTAATTTATCTGCTCAATCCAAGGATTAAACTAGAGTGGAGAGGCAAAAATAAATTTAATGTTCTTGACATTTTGCGCTAACGATAATGAAGAGCTCATTTACTGTATTTTGCATTTTTGAGAAGTTAATTATCAATGAAAGTGGAACTTGTATTGCTCATAATTGTCATTGTTTGCTGTCAGTTTTAATCTTGAATGTGCTACGTGTTGAATATTGTTATCTTTTTGTTAATTACACCCCAAATTTCTCAACATAACAGAACATTCAACTTTTGATTTTAAAAAAATCAGTAAGTTTAATTTTACATATTTATTATTACGAGCCATCTAACAAACGTTTTTGTTATTATTATTACTTTTATCTGTGATTCATCTCTGTGGTATATGATTATCAAAAGTGTAAATCATCGTGAAAGCAGATGTTCCGTTAAATGTTGAAGAATAAATAAATATCAATTTATGTTGACAGGGTCGAGTTTAAAATTTCTTATGAGAAAAACCCATTTTGTTCAATAAGAATGATTTTATTAATCTACACCGATTCTTGGACCGGGGGTTCGTAGCCTTCTGGTCGGTCGGCCTTGCCACCAGCCTCTGTGCTCTCACCCTTGGAATCGCCGTGGAGTTCCAACAGCTTGCTAAGGTCGAACCTCGGCTTCTTGAGGACCTTGACCTTGCGGATATAGACGTCGTGAAGGGGGTAGATTCCTTGGCAGCTCTTCTCAATATCCTTAGCAATGGAATCGGGAAGCAGCTTGTTGACAACCTCCTTCAGGTCTGACGAAACCACATTTGAGGTGATCAGCTCGACCATCTTTTTCCTAATGGCGCGCACCTGGAAATTTGTAAAAGAACGGTAAGTTTCAGAATAAACGAAACAAATTCAAACATTGGTAAATTAAAATTTACAAGAGAATTCAGAATAAACAATAATAAGTTTAAGATTTTTGTTTTCTAAATTACCTGAGTGTGCTGGGCGTAGCAGGTCTTTCGCTGCGACATTTGATCCTTCTGTGTGAATCCAATACAGAAAATTCTTAAGAGGTATCCGTCGGTCGTCTTGACATCAACATTGGCCTCAATAAGAGTCTGTAAATTAAACAATCATATTTTTAATATCACTTTCTGAACAAATTTGCAAAAAATTTAAGTTAATTTAAATCTCAGATCTTGGTGGTAATAAAACCGGATCAGCATTATACTTCAGCTAGCAAATACTCTGTGGTCATCATTGGTTGGAAATTTATTATTATTTTAAAAATTAATTTACCTGCCACTTCTTGACCATGGATCTGAGCCTGTCGGTGGTGAGGTCCATTCCATTGAAGTTGCACAGGACATTTCTGCCCTGCACGTCCTCGGCGATGAGCTTGAACTTTCTGAAGCTCCTTTCCGCATCTTTGTCGTCCTGAAGATCAGCGAGGGAAACTTCGAAGACGCGGCCCTTCAGACCCTCAGAGGCGATCTCTGCAAAAAAATTGGTCAGACCTCAGATCGAAAGGAAATTGGGCAAGACTCACTTGTTCCCTGCGTCCTGTTGACCAGGGTTTTGCCAATCTGGCGCTTGGTGAAGGTCGAGGGCGCCTTCACGTCGTACCAGTCCTTACGTGTGAAAGGGTCCACACTGTCAATTGAGAAATGCAAACATCAGCGACGAACGAAAGGCATGTGTGGGAAAAACAACAAGGCTGGACCGTAAATGGAAATTAAGAATTTTCAGAGTCGAAGGTTAAATCAAAACTTAATAATTGCAGTGAAATGAAGCCGAAGTTAATTAGAATTTGGCCGTAAATGCTGATAAAGCGGCAATACAAACACGGCAACCACGTCGACGAGACATGCGGTGTTTGGAGCCGCGTCCGAGATCCGTTTAATTCGAACGCATCGTACGCGGCCGGACGCCGCAAATGCGTGCGAATTGTTCTCGGACAGTCGGGGAATTCGTACGGCAGCGTCGTTTACTTACATCTTCTTTTTGACACCCTTCTTTCCTCCTTTTGAAAGTCCCTTATTTTTCCCGACAGCCATGGTTGCGGGCTCTGGTGTTTAAGAGAAGCGAGTCACGTGACCACAGTTGCCAACATGGTCGCAGGCGCGCCAACTGTGTGCAAACTTTTGAAAGTTTGAGACGTGTGGCGCGTGGCGTATTTTAGTAGATTGTGCATGTACTGCGCAGTGCGTTAAAATTTTTGGACAATTTGCAGAAAATTTGTATTCGTATGATTAAAATATCCTGAGAACGAATTTAAAAACAATAAAATAAAAATTCTTAATATTTAAAGCATGAATATTACAGAAGAAGATAATAATTATGTAATCTTCTTGATTTGTCAGGGAGTTTAAAATTAATTCAATCATTTAGCCCAACAATTTTTTTTTTCAAATAAATTGTTTCCATCATTTGAATGTAAACAATATAATGTTAATATTCGGACAAATAAACAATAATAATTTAAATAATTAAATAATATTTAAAAAGTAGGAAAAGCATTATGTAAAAAATTTATAAGAAGTCATTTATATTTTCAATGCATTACTTAAAAATTTTAAAAAGAAAGTACATTTCCCACTTGGAATTAAATCTGATCTCTTCTTTTTTTTTTTTTTATTAAAATGTTATCTTGACGAATTTTTGTTGAAAAAGGATATTTTGAATAAAAAAATCATCTGAAGTAAATTACTTACTCAGGCGTTTTTCTTTTATTTTTGTTCGTTTGTGTCACATTTTTACATGATATTCGATTTCATTATTATCTTTCATAATTATTGCGTCTTGATGTTCAAAAATAAATGCATTAATCTTTCCAGCATAATTGCACAAGTCACATTATTTAATTATTCAGCGACTGGGCTATCTTTTGCGCCTCAATGCTGTGTCGATTGTCGATTCATCTCGTAAAGTAGTCTTTCTAGAAAACTTAAAGAGAGATTCCACTTGAAGATAAGTTTAAATTAATAGCATAAGATTTTTATACAGCTTCTCAATTCAATCAGTTCTCTAAAACATTACAATAAAAGGTCAACCTATATCCAACAAGAGTAGACGTTTCTTTAAACCTTAAAATGCGAACATGCTTGCAAAATTATACACCTTTCAGCATATAAATCAAAATTAATAAATACAAAATTGAGTTGTGTGTTTTGGTCCCAGCGTTGTAATTGCACCGGTCTTTTCATAAGTTTTGTTTAATAAAAAAAAGAGGTTGGAACTCTAGCATAGTCAAAATTCCATCATTTAGATAAAAGTTCCAATTTTAGATCTAAAACCACAGAATTATCCAAAAGTTTCAGACCCCTTTGAAATTGTCATCGGTTCTGCTTTTGCTCTTTAGCGTCGGGAAGTGTAAAAAATTTCAGTCTGAATGCGAAACCTCAGCCCGAGAGATTTTTGTTGCCAGAGGGAGAGATTTTGTGTGTGATCAATAGGAGGTTCCTCTCGATTCAGTGGCGTTGCTGGCCGCCGTTTCTATCTTCTTGGCCAACTCGCCCACAATCTCCCGGTAGATGTTGGGGTCGATGTTCCTGCCGAGCATGTACAGCACCCACCAGTCGCCGATGTCCGTCTTTCGGGACACCGCCTGCGCCACGTCCCGCGAGATGAGGCCGCGGTGGCGCAAAACGAGCAGCGACGGACGCATCGAGGGCACGGCCAGGATCAGCGCGCGGTACACGAGCAGGCAGAACAACATGCACGCCAGGGTGATGAACCAGAACCAGATGAAGATGTACGTCTTCTCGTTGACAATGTTGAGGGGCAGGATGCACAGCGAGTCGTGCTTCTGGATCGAGCCGGACGCACCGTACTTGTGGAAAATGCACTTGGTCACTCGAGGGAAGACGTAGACCATCGGATCAAGGCGTTCCTCCTTCAAAATTCATCAAATATTTTAATCAAGTTGAATACTTATGAAATATTATTTATAAAATTTAACATTTTTGCTATACTCTTTTAAATTATTTTCATTCTTAAATCCTCTTTTTAAATTAATATTATCTCCGAATAGTTCCATTTAAAGCAAAATTCAAAATTCAGGCCCTCAAAAGTTCAAGGTGTCAATATCAGTTATGAAATCTAAATATTTTAACATTTGTCCATACTTTTTTTTATTAATTTTAACTTTGATTGCAATTTAATTGTCAATTTTTTTCTTTTCATTACATAATTTAAAAAAACCCATTTATTTCAAATATCTTTTCAACGGAAAATAATAAAAATAAAAATTTATAAATAAATAAAATAAAATATTAAAATATAAATTTTATTAAACTATTATATAAAATAAGCAACTAAATTTGTAGTAGATAATGTAAATTATAGTCTAATTTCATATTTATTATTTCTTACCTGATCTGCTTCTGAAAAATTGAGCACCTTTAGGCCGTAGCTCATGAATTCCCCATCAAAGAAGGCGTTCATTAAATACAGCTGCACCACTATATTGACGAAGCAGAGAAACTCGCAGAACCAATAGTGGAAAACGTACATGTTGTGGCGCTGAAATAACAATAATTTTCATTAGGAAATTTTATTTTATTGGGCTAGATTTTGGCTTTATTGAATTTTTTTTAGGCACACTTACCATTGAGTGATACTGTATTAGTGAGAGCACATTTTACATGCAAAATAAAGAAGCATTAGTAAGACTAAAAGCAAAATTATTTAATAAATTTCTCTGGCGCTTACGATTTTATCTTACAAGGGCGTCTGATTAATTAAATTTGCAAAAAAAAGTTAATTCACAATATAAAGATAAGCTGAATTTGAGAATTTTTACAAAAATGGTTAGCACGAAAAAACGTAAAGAAAAACAATCACCAGCATTATAAATTGCAACAAAGAGACAATTAAAGCAAGTCCGGAACAATAAAAGCGCCCCAAAAGCCAACACCAGAATTAGACAAAAAAATAAGTAAATGTGCCACTGAATTATGATTCCAGGGACAGTCAACTGACCTTAATGTGTTTGAGGAGATAGTCGATGAGGACCTTCTTCTTTGTGGCCTTGTCCTCCTCAGTGCGCATCCCAATGTTGAGACCCATGACAAGGGTCCTCATCAGGTTGTTCTCCCAGCAGTCCCACAACCACTTGGGTGTGTAGCATAGCATCGCCTGTAATTTGACAAATCGCAAATTTAATAACATTTATTGCAGCCACCATAAAAGTACATAAAAGAAAATGCATGAAATTTCTAAAAGCAAGTTGATAAATTAGTAATTCAAGATTTGAAATTAAACTATATATATTTTTTAACAAATTGATTAATTACCTGGAAGAAGAGGACGAAGCAGACCCACTGGTAGTACGTGTAGTACTTCTTGGCGTTGTCGTCGTTGAAGTCGTTGGCGACGCCAGGGTGCGCGACGTGGGTGCCGATCTCCCTCTGGAAGGCGTCGGGCATGGTGAACGTGCTGGTGATCCAGCAGTAGGTGTTGATCACGTGGGTGGGCAGCCCGCTGACGATGCACTGGATCGGGTTGCCCACGAACTGATTGGCGGTGATGATCAGCGAACATGTCAGCAGCAGCACCGTCGTGAACAGGTTGTGCAGTCGGAAGATGGCATTGTCCACGGTGATCTCCTGCCACTTGAGGTAGTCCTTCAACCCTCCCAGTAACTTATACATCTTGCCGCCCTTTGCAGTCTCTCACCTCCTAATGGACAAATTGGCACTTCGGGGATCTGCAAAATGAACCAAAAAAATCGTAATTTAATAAATAAAATTATAATTGGAAAAAAAATGAAAAGTGGGGAATTAAATTGTTGAATAAAAGTTTTATGGTGTAAGAAAAATTAATAGGTGCACTTAATTATAGGAATTAAGGCTTAATTCTATGAAAAAAAAGCACAATTTTTTTTAAATAAGTATAAGAATAAACAATTACTCCAAATCATATTTTATTAATTGATTTAATTGATTTTTTTATGATTGATTTATTTTCCATTTTAAATTATAATCTTTAAAGCACTGTTTTCATTAAAAAAAATTATAATTACTAACCATTATTATTTATAATAATAAATTACAAAAAATTTATTGCACATAAATGCTAAAATTAAATTGGTCTTGTGAAAGAATTAATTCACCAAAGTTCAATAACAAATTTGTATGTGATAATAAGTCATCTTCAAGAGTTAAATAATTTAAATGTAATTTAAGCTCTTATGCATTTTTTAATTTGAAAGCAAAATAATTTCTCCCTGGGTCACTGACTTGAGTACAAAACAATGCTTTATCCCGTCAAAATAAACAAAAAATTTAAACGCGTCTGTTTTACGAATCTACACGTGCAACAAAATTCAGTCTAAACAAGAGCGCGCCCTGTGTTTTTGTGTCCGCTTGGGTGCGCAAGAAAATGAGCGAAACAGTTACAATTACAATAGTCGCCGAATTCGCACGCCCGCTTCATAGATACAACAATAATTTCGAGTTGGCAAAGAACTCGGAGGAGATGCAGGTGTGGCTGAAAAAAATTCTTCTGGCGATCGGGCGCGAATTAATATTTTACGAGCAGCGGCCAACCGGTTCCGCCGAGTCCAAATAATTAAATTATTCACAGGCAGAGGAGGATCGAAAACGAACAAAACCAAAAGCGACCCCTCTTCTCTTTTCTAATCAGTAAAAGTAAAAGGGTGAGACGGGAAATCGCACAAGTGCCGAAAATGCTAATGTTATCCTTGGCCTTTTGCTTCGATAATTCGTCTTCGCCTGAGCATAACTGTATTTAGCTGTCCAGCGGGTGCAGGTCGACCGAGATTTTAAATATCGACTGCGAAAAGCCTCGAGGGGATCCCTGCGTGGGTCGAAGGCCAGAGATTTGGTCCGACACACCGAAACGTGTAGAACACGAGAGATTATAAGCTCGAGCATTTCAGAGCAACTGATCTTCACTCACTCAAAAGACCCAAATTTAAGTGAGAGATAAAAATTAGCTCTCTCATTGTTATAATTGAATCTCTCATTTCTGAAGATGTTTATTTAATAGATTAAGAACAGAAATTAATTTCAGGTTGAAAGTTTTATTTTATTAAATAATAATAATATTATTATAAATTAGTATAATTAATAATATACAATATTACACAACTTTTACTTTGATATTTAAAAAATAAAAAAAAATAATTTAATTTTAACATTTTTATTTTTTTTAATAATAATTTTTAATTTTAAATATTTAATAATTTTGTAAAAAAAATTGTATATATAAATATCTAAATTCATGCTTTCACTAAAGATTTTTAAATTTAATTTCAAAAAAAATTTAATTTAAATATTCTAAGGTTAACGTTTTTATTCATTATTCTCTATTTTAGTCAAATCCTCCCATATATCCACGACAGCGTTGAAGTAATTTTTTTTTTTAATAATTATTTGGAAACAATTAAGTAAAATGTTAGATTTAGAAACACAAAAGTCATCCTTTATATAGACATGGACACCTGTTGGGCACAAAGTTTTGGGTTAAAAAGTGAAATGCCGGCATTGAAATCTCTGATGCGCTCTCTTTGCCTAACGACGCGATAAACGGCGCCAACAACCCAAAGAAATAAAGCTTGTTTAGCCCGGCACGAACGCATTTACTTGACCCTCGACCTAGCTGCTGCTGATTGATTCCAAACGACACACAATGGGTTGGACATGGAGTTGCTGCCGCGTCACCGACAGATGGCTGCGGACCGACAAAAAGAATAAAAAATAAAATTGCTCCTCGCGGTCAACGCTGGCTAAATCGTCGCTAATCAAGTGCAATTCTACTCGATTACGCTCTTGATTAATCAAATAGGCCCCTGCACATCATCAGGGATAAAACGAAAATGCAAATTTTTCAGGGCAGAAAAAAAAGATGAATCAATTTTGTGATTTCTTTCAACATGCAAAATATTTGAGAAAAAGCGACGAGTGGAGAAGATTATGACAAGGTTAATCTGCTAATTGGTTGTCAAATGAAAAAATTTCAGGAGGAAGAAGGGGTTGACAGGTTAGACACGCACGTACGGCAGTACCTTTTGACCTCCCCTCCACCTTCTTTTTCAGGTTCGTTTTTTGGCGTGAAAATTTCTTCCTTTCATTGTTTGCAAAAAGTGGAAATTAAATATCTCGTTTTTTTTAGGCCAGGGTGTGTCGAGGTTGAGTTTAAGAAAGAAGCGCTCCCTCGCCGCAGTTTGTACCGCGGCAGAGCGCGCACGAGATATATACACGGGATACCCAGCAACGGCCGAAAAAGGTCCGTTTTTTGGGCCTCCGGGCCACGGGCCGCGGGGAAAAGGCCATTGGCGGACTCACCAGATCTGTTGGGCCGCGGTGCGTCACTCTGGGCTCACAGCTCGGTCATTTTCCCGGCGAAAAGGCCCAATTCGGAGATGGAATTTCAGGGCAATGCTTAGCGCGCTGTGTTGGACTCTCGCTTCTTTTGACGACTCGGCCGCCCCTCGCGCGCGCGGCTCCCCCCTCGCGCGGCCCCACTACTCGCGGCCAGACTCTCTCGAATCTCTTTCTCTCTCTCTCTACCCACCGTGCTCATATTATATTCTCGACTTTAACTTTGCCCCCCGGCCCAAGTTCTTTTTAACCAAGAGCTCCAGACGCCCCCCAAAGTTAAAAGTTTTTACCCCGCGGGGTCTCCGTTAATGCTAGTCCGAAGTCTAAAATACTTAAATTTGAACGGAACTTCCTATAGCGTGGCGCGTTAATTGCTCCGAAATTGCTTTTTTCCTTATCAGACCAAACTGTGCGGCGCCGAGACAGGAAGTAGGCAGCTTTTAAGCACTCCCTCGACTCATAAGGGACCCTGATCTTTCTAGTCTATGCCAGAAATTTTTTTTACCAAATTTTCCAATATTTGTAAGGGTGATTTTTATATAAACGAAGTTGGCGCTGCGTGTCGGGGTGGAAAATGTTGGGGCAGGACACACTTCTTCTTCGTCTTTTTTTGTTAACCCTCGTGTGCACGTAGACCCGAAAAATAATTCTCCCTTCTCTAGCTAGCCTCGTCTCTCCAGGCCTCCGAAATTGCCTCGGAACTGCATTCGAGTGCAGCTGCATCTTGTGATTTTTCTTCTCCGGCCAGCGCCCCAACTGCAGCACCTGACGGAGAAAAAAATTTAACCTTTGAGATAATAATTGAAAGGTCGTTCAATTCGATGGGTCAGGAGAAATTCCTCGCCGAGTCCACCCACAAAAATTCATTCCGACTCCTCCTTTGATTTTTTTTTTTATTCTTTTTAATTTAATTAACGCCTTGGCGCACAAAACTCGCCTTGTGGAAGCGAGAAAACGCCTTTGCTCTGTAACTGAGTCTTGAAAGGAGCAGTTTGGAAATTTTTCTGCTGTACATTAATGAAGGCAGGGCTTTAATTGTCGCTTATAATGTACTCTTGAGTCACAGCATCTCCGCACACAGTGAGTCACGACATCCTGAGATGATTTAACTTGCAAGTGGTAAAAAGACAACATTTTATTCAAATGAGAACAAATTTAAAACAAATTAAAACACTTTCTGTTGCATTTATTTATCATTTAGAAAAAAAGACAATATTTTTAAACTTTGTCTGAGCCAAGACAAATTAATCAATATTTATTTTATAAATTTTAAGAGACACAAACACTCTATTTAATTTTAATGGCCTGTTCTGAATTACACTCAAATTCACGGTCAACGAATCCAGAAGCGAATCAATAATTGTGGTGATGACGCTGCTCTCGCGGGGGATCGTCTGTTCGGCGCAGATGTTTTTTCGAGAACAGATTTGCTCTCGAGAAAAATACATTATAATATGCAACACGCGGTTGGCGCGCAAAGAGTTCAAGGCCGCGATTAATGAAAGAAAGAAGCGGATTGAGAAAAGCGATCGTGCGTGGGATTAAAATAAATATATTTATGAAAATATATTTATATGCAAATGCGAGCGTACAAGAGGAGTGTGTGTGTGCAACCCGAGCAGAGAGATCATGCCTCTTTTTTTACGTGCGTTATCTCGCGTGCAGAAGAAAAAGAAGGTTTTGCGTCACAAGCATTTTGCAGCTTCAACGCAAATAGTGTGTACAAGAAAAACGAAGAGATGAAGAGAGCGAAAAAGGTTAAATAAATGGAAAAGACGTTCTTGTGTTTGTCAAACACGCAAACGCAGCAGAAATTTTCTCATTCTCTCTTCAGTTTCGCATTTAAATAGCAGAGGATCAAACATAATTGTTTAAACAAGTAATTTTACCATTAAAATTTATTGCATTAAGAAAATAAAATGAAATACAATTTGGCATGCGATAAATCCATTGGTGGGTTTCAAAATTTCATATCATTTGCCAATAAAAAGCAACAAAATAAAATGCATTTTATAAGTTAATGATAAACAAACCGAAACAAACAAGGCTTTTTTTGGAAATTACCACAAAGATATAAAATAGTTATTATCAGGAATATTTCTAACTTCAAATGAAAACAACATAAATTTGATTCAATTCTTAGTTTCTTAATCAAAATAGGATATTTCTTTAAGAAACATCATCATATCAACTGTTCTCCATTCTGAATTTCTCGAACATTCGGGACAAAATTCGGGCCACAGATGAACCGCAGATGTTAAAAAGTTTATTTATTTTCCCAGCGAAATGATTCGCTGATTGGCGCTCATTTCAGCTGAACGGGGGCGATCAAGTGAAAACACAACATTTTCCTTAACTTCCTTCCTACGTCCGGATTCATTGACAGAAAGAACCTTCAAGTAAGTGAAAAATACATATCTTAAATCTTTTCTTATCGCTTGAACTGAACGAGGAAAAATCTCTAATAATCAAAGGAAAAAAATTGGCCGAGCCTTTTTTGACCCTTTATGGTTTTTTCCTCTTGGTAATGTGCGCACTTGTGACGGCAGCAAACTCGCATTTTTTTGTCCATCATTTTTAACGAAGCGGGTGTTTGAACTGGTCTGAAGCCTTTTTCAACAGAGGCATTTTATTCTGTGGGCTTTTCATCTCTCATGCACGTTTTCCTGCTCGTTATTCGCCGTTTTATTGCACGTCCACTGGTCCGTGGCGCTTTTCATTATTGTGTGATTTCCAGTCCGAAAGCGAAACCGCATCGCAGCTTTGACATTGGCAGTGGCAAAAAACTGATGAAATGCTCCAATGATGTTGCACTACTTTGATTTTATACACACGCTGTTCCTGTTTCGAAACACAATTGATTTCCACAAACTACGAATCCCAACGTTCTCCATGACACACTTTTGAAAAATGAAAATTGAAATATTTTCAGAAAAATAGTTTCCGATTCAAATAAATTGCACCGCTAAATTGTTTATTTTATTTTAATAAATTTAAACCATTAGATTGTTGAAAAAAAAATTATATAAAGTATGGAAAATAAAATATTTTTGAAATTCAAAGTAATATGTTTTCAACGTCGTCTGAACAAATTTAAACCGAGTTGCTTTCGATGTGAAAAGAAGTTTTTAGGGCATGCAAATCGAAGACTTCTAAGCGACCTGATTTGCATTCAGACCGAGTGTGCTACTTGAGGAGAGCAAAGAGACCGTCGTCTGCGACCTGAGGCGCGTCTCAGCTAATTGCACCGCGAGTACACCTGTGAGAGCAAATTAAACACAATCATCTCCACAGATTACTGCAAATTATAAATTAGCTCAAAAGCGATGGCGCCGTCAAATAGTTGTAGGGTTTGGTAAAATAATTCAAATCATTTTCGGAAAAAAATATTCAAAATAAATAATTTTTATGTATAAATTTCTTACATCTGTTCATAATGTTTGTCAAAGGGTTTAAATTTTTTTTTTTTGCTTTGGTTAAAGAAAAATATAATATTTTAAAGGTAAATGTTTAAAAAAAATTAATTTGCGAGTAAATAAAAATCCAATATTTAATAACAATGTAAAAAAAATATAAAGAAATAAAAATTTATGTTTAAAAAAAATGGTTTTAAAGTGTTAAATGTTAACGACAACAAGATATTAAAATTATAATTTTTGTAGACTACAATGAATTTTTTTAAACGTGTATAATTGTGATTAAAATCTTCTCACCAAATGCTGTAGTTTTCCATTATAATGTATCTCGATTTGGGCAGATATTGTTACCAATAAACTTTGTTTGCAACTGCATTAATTTAACAACTAAAAAAAAAAAAATGGGCATGGAAGTATATACTATGCAGCCAAGGGAATTAACAATTTAATAGAAGGGAAAGTTAAAAGCCGGTTTTGCGTTTGGAGTGAATGTGTGAGTTGAAATTTCTCGATACCCCGCGACTTTCATCTTTTCGTCGTCTGCACGAAATTTCCTCCAGCTGCACGCCTCAAATGGCGAATTGCCAAAGTAACAATAGGAAATTCTCACACGTCCGCAAACTGTGTGCCAATTTGAGTGAACGACGAGCGCAAGAAAGAAAAATATCTCTTATATAATAAAAATAAACAAGAAAAGGCGATAATTTTGGGTTGTTTAGCGCGGGGGCTGCCAAAAGGTGCTAATGGATCAGCGAAAATTATTCGCGCCCTCTGCTAATTTTTTATGAAACTGCTGCGTTTTGTTGCCTCTCGGCATGATGTGTTTGATCGAGCAATTGTGCGTCGGGTTGCGTCATGCCCACTTCCTTTTTGTGAGCTTTTCGGAGAACGCTGCTCTCATCACTGCGCCCCACATGTGCTTGTTTTCCTCCATTAATTTCGTCTGGATTTGTCTCGAAATTTTCGGAGCCGAAAATAGTCAAAAATAGATCTATGCAGTCCCGCGTGGCAACCGATTCGGAATTTGTTCTTCCTCCCCCTGGCAACCCCGAGTCTCGGCACGTGCTCGGCGCAACAACGCAGTTTCCGAAAAAGAGAGAGGGTGCGTCTGCTCGCTGGACCAGCACCTGTGCTTGGCTTTTCACAAAAGCTGGAAAATACCGAGAATCTCGTGTTTAAGGAAGGGCGTTGTTTTCCTCTTGGATTATCGTGCGGGGCAGCTGTCTTTTTTCTTTGCTCAAAATTGAATAGGATAGGAAGAAAAAAACGTGGGTCCATTCATTAAAAAGCGGCGGCCCTAGCGCACTCGGCAAACTATTGAAGGGTTCCTTTTACAAACACAGACGTGGTTTAATTTAGGATCGAGGACTGCTCGAGACGAGGAACATTTGCTGCATCCACTGTCGGAACAAATGGATAAGAATATTTATTTTTATCTTGTTGGTAAATTTTTCCAACGTCCAAACATTTAGCCCTTTGTCAAGATGTAAATTATAATATTTTAAAAATAAGAAAATAAAAATTGTCTAAAATTGACATAAAATAGGTGAAAAATGAATTTTTTTTAATTAATTTCTTATCGTTTTTATTTTTTAGCTATTAAGTTGGCATTTAAATTTAAATTTTCTGCAAAAAATTACTTTCAAATATTTACTGTCAATTTTATAAAGGACAGAGATTGGAAAAGTAAAAGTTAAGTTGCAAATTTTA